AGGTGTTTGTTGGTCTTCTCCAGCAGTGGACACTGCACAATCTTCCCATGCAACCATTTATAAACTGAACATTTCTGTTTGAAAAACAAGCCAATTTTTCTATAGTTTTCTTGTCCACAGCAGGCACAAAATACACTGCACCTTTTATTCCCCATGTCATACTTAGAATTTGAATTTTATGGCAGTCTCTGATTTAGAATCTTAAGAAACCCCAGCTGCATCCTATCCTTACTGACCACTTTTATTGCCAACTTCTGCAGTTCCCTTGGCTAGTCTGCATCTTTCTTGGAGTTCAAGGTAAAACTTTACCCAGGCTCAGTAAAGTGGTACAATAGGCTCCTATACCCCTAATATATGTCTCATTTTGTTCCTGTGTGTTATTGCAGACTCCTCCTTTGAAGGACTGCCCAGTAATCGGTCAATAATTCGTGCCCAAACCCATAATTTCATTAGTTTTTATCAAACTGATTCTGCAATACATAACAAAACTTCTGAATTTTTAAATTGCACTGTGTTGTCAGGTGAAATACTGCAGAATCAGAGCACCTATAGATCATTAGAGGACCCTTACATTTAAGTCCAGTTTCTGGAGATAAGAAATGCTACCTGATTTTAGAGCCTGAAGCTAGATCATGAATTCCCAGACTAAATAAATCACTGCACACCTTCTTGTCTTTCAGTCATTCCCTTTCTCTTCTTTCAGGCTGGATAAAACACATGCTATTGGCATTTTTTTAACTTCTTTCGTATTCTGATAGAAACACAGTATTTCCTGCTTTGAGTATTAAAAAACTTTGCATGGAAGCTGCCTGTTTCAATCAAGGCAGGCATTATTGCCTCAGTGTTGCTCTTTTCACAGAAATAGTATCACTACTGTCTGATTATAGGTGCTGTTATGTTAGATAGTAGGCAAAGGTAGAACTGAAAGGATGGTCCTTACCACAGAGGTGTTAGAACTTGAGGTTTTAGTTTTCTCTTGGGTGGCCAGTGTTCTTCTGAATCTGCAGCTTCCTCATCATATCTGTTGTCTCTAGGTATTTTGCAAAATGAAATGTGTCCTATTCTTTTTCCTCTTAGCAAACTTGACAATTCTGGCTTGAGAAGGATTGATGTTACAGTATCTTTACAGGGCAATTTATTAATATTTTCCTGTGCTGGCCACATAAGACAGTTGTATGCTCCATTAGCTTCCCTTCTTTCTGCTTCTCTGGAAAGTGATGTCTCTTCACATTCATAAGCAGAAACATCCAAATGGATTGGAGCACACTGGTTTGACGAAATGATTCCTTTTAATCTGCCTATAATTCCCAGAGAAAGCAGAATTTCAATCTATCAAAGGGCATGTGCATTACTGTCCCCGGTTTCTATGGTAGCATCTGCCATTGTCATGAGGTCCAACTTGAGATGTTTTCAGTAGAACTTAAAAAATCTCCCTCAAGAAAGATGACAGGCTTAAAAAAAACAGAACAAAACTACAGGAAAACAAACAACCCAAACCCCTTCAACAAATGAACAAACAAATAATCCCCTCCCCCCCAAAACCTTACCAAGGTGAAACAGCATATTTTATCTCTGTCACAGCTGTGGATGCATTGTGAATCCAAAGGTGTTTATAAGCCCATTGTTTATTTTCTGTAGGCCCATGTTCTATGAATTTGAGTTCTGCATTTTATTGTAGGGTATAAAAAAAACCCTCTAACTTTTGCTGTATTTTGGAATACTTTTTTTTACCCCTTATTTTTCTTGGGTTTTTTTCACCTGCATTTATGAAACAATTAGTAAAGTTTGCATTAAATATCAGAGATAGATAAAAGGTAATTTGGATACCAACAGTAGTGATGGCTGTATGATTGTCTGGACATGTTGTCAGAACTTAAGCTGGAACTAGGACAACTTGGTAACTGATAGCATGAAACTCTTGATGCCCAGGCATGGATTGCCTGCTATTAGCTAGACTACAACCTATCTGTAGGATAGCCCTAGTCGTTGTTCAAGGCAGTGTGCTATATGATATTTTGTTCAAACTCATACATAACAGCTTTGAGTATTCTGCATGTTCTGTGTGACTCAGACTAGTTCTCAACTACAAGGATTAAGCAGAGCTAACTTACAGTAGATTGATTGAGGATAATGGACACAGTCTGGCAATGAGTTGGAGTGTCATGGATATGTCCAGCAGTAAATTGGAGATAGTGCAGCTGGGTAATACAATTTCAGAGACCTTCCAAAACATGAAAAAGATGCACAGATAAGTTGTTGCCTGTCATATTTTTCTATCCATAGTCATTAAATGCTATGATTACATTTCAGAGGTCTTCTCCCAGGGAGTATTTCATGGAGTTTCATTTCCTGGGGAGGTGAAAGGTTCATTTCTTTGAGAAGCCGTTGATATCAATTCAAAATAATACTTACGCTCTCTTCAGGGTAATCCTTTATCACATACAGAAGAAAAATTTCCTGCTTCAATCTATCACTTAACTATAATTCAGAGTCACCATATTGTAGTGGTGATCTACAGTTCCCTTTATCATTCATCTTTCTAAGCCTTCTGTGCTTGCAAAACTTACACTTGGAACACCATATTAACATTGCAGTTTCTGTGGCTGAGATTTACCTGTCTTTTCTTGCACATTGCAAGTTATCAAGACATAGTTGATTTTTACTTTTTAATAGAAATAAAGTCTCAGAAGTCTTCATGAATAGCTTGAAAATATGAATGTCTTTGTCCAGCAGAAAACAGCACTGTTCACATGCATGAGCTTGAGGTTGGAAGCTGAAGCTGAGTTAACTTGTGTGGGTGCACAAGTGGGTGCTGCCTGAATATATGTTTAAAGTATTTGGTCCAAAATTAGCCTGTACAGCAACAGATGGGAGCAAGCAACAACAGCAGTAAGAAATACTGTGAGGACAAGTATGATTTATATTTACAGCATCTTTAATGTTGGGGTTTTTTTAAAGAAGAAATGATCTATTGCCTGTGATGCTCTGTGAAAAGTTAGCTATCTTGGCCAGCTGATCAGTAAAACCAAGCCTCACAATGTTTATGCTTGAATGCCTAAGGTCAAATCTATGTGTGTTCCATATGAGTGCCAAGTTCTGCTTCAAGAATCTGAGCAGTAATACAAATTTTTAGAGTTAGCGAAATATAATATTCTTATCAGTTTTAAACAGATGGCAGTTTGGAAGAAAAAGTGTCTTGGTTCAACATGCCTATTTCTTACAGTTAAAACTGGAAGTTTACTTTTACATCTGTGTGATTATTCAAATGACACAGAAAACATTTGTGGTAATACGTAAAAGGGAAAACTGACCACATCCTCCAACAGTCTTTAAAAATGCTTACAGAGATGCACAAATGCTAAGCAAACCTTTCTTTTATCTTTTTAGATCTCTTCTGATAATAGGGAAACTGTCTGTAGTGGTATCCAGCCCTTCTAAAATCCATGTCTCAAGCCTCACATGGGAGTTGGACCTCCTGAGACCTTCATCCCAAAGAGCTTTCACTAAGCTCCAAACTCTTTAGATATTCATTCAGTCCATGTTGTTGAAGTTAATCTATTAAGCCAACAAAATTACAGAAATAATGTAGCTTTCACAGGACTTCATTGCTAAAAGAGAAGACTAAATTTTAGAATGTATCTAATTAAGAGAATTATCTTTTTTCTGACCTGCCTTTGCTTAAAACTCACATTTTAGTATGTATGCTATTAAAATCTGAATTCTATATTCTTATGCCCAACTCTTACCACAGTAGAAGTATTTTTTATAATCAGTGTTACATTCTGGAGTCTGTTTCAGGCTCACAGTGGAGATAGTGAATCATGTTAGATTTGTATATATATATTATGATAAATACATCATGGTAAATTTGATTCTTCAGTGTCTTGTCACCATTAATACACTTTTAATAGCATATCCAATAGATAAGTCTTGCTTGATGTGACTGGTGCATTACAATAATCTAGTGACCCATATAATGTTTTGTTCTGTATTTTGTTTGCTTTTGCATACACATAGAATGGGAAGGTGTCACTTCTGTGAAGATGTACATGAAGATTCTTTTTTTCCAAATTATTTTACTTAGAAATAAAATTAAATTTGATTGACAGAAGCATGTTCTGTGACTGCATGTATTAAATTTCTTTTGCTGCTTATTCAAATTGTATTAGTTGCATTATTTTCAAAAAAGTACAACCAAAAGGAATCTTTGCAGTTGATTATAGTTCTTTGTTCGGACACTTTGTAAAATAAGAACTCTCTTTTAGATTTAATTATGTTTATTTACTTTTTTAACTTATATTGAAAAGATATTTCTGATTTCCTGAAGTTCTATACACATCTTCTCTCCCTCTCTTTGTAACATGCACACATTTTGAGGTAAGTGTCAGAGGCATTGATTTTCGCTCCAGGAGCACATCACTACCTTCTTAATGATTACCTGCCTGGCAGCTGATGAGAGTGTTTTCCTTCTGCACTTAAAGAAAAAAGTCTTATCCAAAGGCCACTGAAAGTGGTGAGAGTCTTTTAAGATACTGTGTCTTTGGATCCAAACCAAAGACACAGATTTGCCTCCCAGGTTGCAACCTATCAATGCAAGCTCAGCCTTAATGCTCTAAAACACATATGAGGTAGTGAAGATTTTTTTGTTGTTGTTGCACAATGAGGGTATTTCTGAAAATAACTCTGAAATGCATTCCTCCTACCCCTATGAGATTGGTAAGGTGATTTTGACTTCTTTTTTTTAAAATATTGTGGTCATGCATTATTGTGCATAAATGTTTTTTATATCATTCACTTCCTGACAGTATTTGTACTACAGTGTAATTAAAATAGCCAAGTATATCTATGATTCTGTCCATAGCTGTACAAATAGAATAGCTATGCTTTACATAAAGCTACTTGCCAGGAGCTAATGTGACATGTAGATGCCATGACTAAAAAGCAGTACCAAAATCTTTTCAATGATGTCTTGAAAATCATGCATTTTGTTATCTTTTCAGGAACCATATCTGTGAACACATTACGTACACCATATACAGCACCAGGGGAAAGTGAAATCCTTGACTTGGATGATGACTTGTATCTTGGAGGCTTACCAGAAAATAAAGCAGGCCTCGTCTTCCCAACAGAGGTGTGGACAGCACTTCTCAATTATGGATATGTCGGCTGCATTAGAGATTTATTTATTGATGGTCAAAGCAAAGATATTCGGCAGATGGCTGAAATTCAAAGTACAGCTGGAGTAAAACCCTCATGTTCAAGAGAAACTGCAAAACCTTGCCTTAGCAACCCCTGTAAAAACAATGGTGTATGCAGAGATGGGTGGAACAGATATGTTTGTGATTGCTCTGGCACAGGGTACCTTGGCAGATCATGCGAAAGAGGTAGGTTCATGAGATGACTGCATTTCTATTTCATAGAATCCTGCACAATGATAAAAAATGGTAAACTATCATTAACTGTCCTGAGGCAAAAAAAAGCATCCTTGATTGCACTTGATGTGAGATGGAGCCCTGCTCTAGACTGAAAGAAGTAACTCTAGAGGAAAGATCTTAGGGGAGACTCCAAGATGAATGAAGTATTAGTTGACTATGACAGAGAGTCAGGATTACTGAATGTCTCTTAGAAAATGCCTCCTTTTGTGTCTAATCATACATTGCTGCATTCTGAAAGCTCTGTGAAAGCAATTTTAAATATTATTGCATTGCCAAATGGCCACATTCTATTTCCAAACTGAGATCTTGTTCTCTGCCTATTTATGTCAATATCAATATGTGGTTAATTTTACTTTTGAATTCCACAGTATCACTTAAATCCATGGCCGGAACTTCATCCATGAGTCAAAGCAGAGAATCAGTGTAGGAATTAATATTTCTTATTTAACTCTTCTTTTTAAAAAGATCTTAGTACCCAAGGAAGTTTTTTCTGTTTATCTCAGTATCCCTCTTGCCCAGAAAAGGTAGCTGTAAAATTGACAAACTCCATTTATTTAATTGAAAATCTGTAGAGTGCAAGCAAATCAGATGTTGAGGTCAGTTTATATGTAGAAAACTCTGTAATTTGCTTAAAATTACAGAGTGTGCTAATAATATATTTTAATGTAAGTAGGAAAACAATTTAAAAATGAGTAGTTAATCTTTCAGGTGTTTGTTTTTATTCTCATTGGATTGGAAAAATATTTTCAATGCCAGAATTTGTATTGTTTTAGCCTCATGTTTGACTCAGTACAGATTCTCTCCAACCTGAGATCTAAATGTAAAGTTTATCGACTGGAAATGTAAGTTCTTTCCATCTAGTTTGATTCATTTTTCCAGTTAGACGGATGAAAAGAAAATGTATTGTTTAAAAATAAATAGAAAGGTCCATTTCTGTAGTGTTAATACCACCATATTTATTAGCATTTGTAAGTAGATTCTCGGATTCTTCTGTGGGCTTTTTCTGTCTCGTTTTTTGAGTATTTGTGCCTTTGGCTCACAGCCAGTTGTTCTGAGTTCTCCAGATTGTTGTATTACTGGTGGAGTGGAGCTGGCAGAGGGCATAACCGAGCTAAGGATGCAGCCCCGAAGCCTTCGGATAAACATGGATGGTGTACCACCCTGTGGCCAAACTCTCCTATTGCATAGGGCACAAGAGAAAACAGGATTTGAGTTTTTTTTCCCACTGAAGAGCCAGGAAACATGTGCCTTAGAGACATAAACCCATGCAGATCTACGAAGAACTTAAAAGCAAGCTTCATCATAGCAATTTCCCATAGATCTATTGGACAGGTGGTGATATTTTATATAGAAACATTTGTCTTTTTTATTTACCATAATTTATTTTCAACTGTCTTCTAGTTTAAGGCTTCATTTTCTCAGTGAATTCCTGTAGTGGGAATGGTGGTACTATAGTGGTGGTGTTGGCTTCTCTACATTTCCTGCTCTTGGGTTTCCCTCTCCAGAGGAAACTACACTGAAAGAAGATCTCTTCTCAGTCATATTCATATCCCAAATGGTCATACATTAATAAGATTATAGCTTGTGGGATTCTGAAAGCATCGTGTTGGCATCCTACCACACAAAGTTGTTATTACTGCTACCCATGTGCAGTAACTGATAAACTTTTGTATTTGGTGATCTAAGCAACACAATTATAATTGTCCAAACTAATTTAAATAAAATAGGATCATGTTCATTTCAACAAACAATGCAGTTTCACAAAGAAAAGAAAGCTTTAGAATAAAATATAGGAGATTGAACAACTGGAATATTTACCTTAGCTGATTAAGGTGTCTTCAGTAAACAAAAGTACGTAGCTACTTTTTATTACCATGATTTATTTTGCATGCTTCTTCCCCTGAAATGGGAGTACTAACATCCATATGTGCATGTATAGTGTACCATACAGAATCTGAAATAATTTGTCATCTTATCAGTGCACAAAAAGCATGGAACACAACTCAGTTCTATTATAATTTGAGTATACTTAATATTTTTTATACTCATATCCATTTTATCCTGTTGCAAGTTATTCTTGATTTTATTCTTGATTTTCAGTAAGGTTAAACATCAGTATAATCTGTAGATTGGCTTTAGTAGATTATGGAAACTATAGCAGATGGATGGACAGATGTCACAGCAATATAATTTGGCTTCCTGTCTTATATATTGGATCACAGTATGTGACTGGCTCTCGGCAAAGCCTTTTGCAGGTGTATACTTTTGACTAGGTGGCTAGGAACAATGCACAATAGTAAAATCAACAAACAGTTAAGACAAAGTAAGCATGCAAATTAAAATTTATTAAAGTGAAATTTCTGAGGAGAAAATATGTTTGGAGTGCATGTAGATGTGCACATTGTGTTTTCACAGACACCTGTGTACACACACATACATTAAAGAAATGTAGCTTTCATTCCTTGCATCGTGCCTGGATGCTTTAAAATTTTAAAAAAAGAAAAATGTAGGTGATATGATGATAGGTGGTATGAAGAATCATGTGTTCAGAATATTATAGTAATTCCATTGCTGTCTTAAATTTACTGATTGGCCCTGTGTGTTAAATTTCTAGCACCTTTAAAGTGTTGTTTAGAACTTCAGTCCTGAAATAGTATGTGTGTAGGAACAAGGAGTAATCATTTTAACTGCTTTCACATATTATGTAGTAACTAATCACATATAAAGAATTGTTTCTATCAGAGTGATGGCAAGGTTCCTCATGATTCACCAAGTCTGCAGCTTTGGGCCCAGATGGCCTTGAAGTAGCTGCCATAGAGAAAGCACCAAACACCTGGGAATGCACCAAAACTCAAAGTTTGAATTTGACTCAGTAGCAGTTAATATATTTGAATACTCACATAATTTACAGGAGTAAAATCATATATATTGGTGAGTGTTTTCAGGGCAGGATCTTGTTGCTTTACTTATACTGGTGAATTAAACCAAGATCCAAGAGCAAACCTGAATACCTGATTACTGATGACCCAAATTGTTCACACACTGCTTGGCATGACCCTGGACTGTATCGTCTGTCACCTCCTGAGCAAGGTTTGTGTGTGATTTTGGAGACAGGCGACACAAAGGGTCATTTTCTGCTTTAAAAATGGCTGTGGGCTGCAACACAGTACTCATATTATTACAGACACTTTGAAACAGAAAAAGCAAGAAAAAATTAATAATTCTGTCTTTGGGACTTCAGAGGCACCACAAGGGTACCAGAGGAAACAAGATCCTGTTTAATTTATTAAAATATATGCAATGGGCATCCATACTCAGCAAGCATCATGTTTTTGAAACAACACAAACTTGACTGCAAAACCTACGAGAAAGAACTCTGAAATTCAAATGCCTAGTCCATTCTTCTTTCACTTTCATTTAAATAAGGTGTGAATTGAAGAATAACATTTATTTAGAAAATTCTGCTTCTCCCCATAAATATCTGGTTCAGCATTTCTGAGGTTAGAAACAGATTTAGGAAACTTTCTGTAAGGGTTAGTACCTTGGACTCGAGCAATTTTAGGTAATTCCAGCCAAAGTGAAATTAAGGTCCTGAATATCCTCTCATGTCAGTACTAGTTTGTGCATTCTTGATAATAGGTACAGAGATGATTGAGGTGATGCTATGATTCCAACTCTGAAGTGGTAGGAAAACTATTATTCTTTGCCGTGGAAACACTGATTCTTTAAATGCATAGCACATTCTGAGCTAAACTTATAGTCTATTATCATTTGATCTAATAATTAAGAGAAAGCTGAATAAGAGAGAGAATAGACATCTGTCAACACTTATGTGAGAACATTTAGCAGTGTTCAAATAAAGGTGAGACACATGCCTCCTTGGAATTAGTTGTCCCAAAGCAAAAAAATAAAAGGGACAAAATTAATGCATACTTTTAGCCAAATTGTTCATTTGAGGTTTGCCTCTCATCATTCATATTGCCATCTTACTAACCAGGCACTGCAAATTTACAAACCATTCCTGCCAGTTTTGTATTTGTTTTGCATTTTTTGTTGTTTGGTTGCAAATTTACAAACTATTCCTGCCAGTTTTATATTTGTTTTGCATTTTTTGTTGTTTGGGTTTTGTTTTCTTTTGTTTCATTTTCTTTCCCCTCTGATACCTTTGTATTTAGAAAGCCTGTGACTTGGAGCTCCCCATATTGAAAGAAACTAGTTGACATGAGGGGGCTTCCTCATTGCCCAGAGCTTTTAAGTCATTCTGTTCAGTATCTTTGGAGCTCCCCATACTGAAAGAAGCTAGTTGACATGAAGGGGCTTCCTCATTGCTCTGAGCTTTTAAGTCATTCTGTTCAGTATCCTTGGTCTGTTCTTGGAACATCTGTTTCCAAAATAACTGGCACAGTATGGTTTAGGAGGATTGACTATCTAATCACATCGAGTCTGTTCACCATGATGTTAAATACACACAGGTCATCTCCAATTAAATTAAGACAGTTCTTTCTTTCCTTTTTCTGTAATTTTCTAAGCCACTTGAATAATTATAGGAAAGTTGGCAAACAGTACCAGTGCTGATACTGACAACATTCTTTTACATTATCATAAGATAATTTGTTAGCAACAGACCTCTAGTGTTGCTGAGTGTTGTTCATCCTATAATATCTGGCTTTGCTCAGTATATGAAAACCCTGAATACGAATAATGTGGGGGTTTTTAATTGACAATATAAAATACCTTTTATTTTCTCTTATATTGACATGTAACTAGTTTTTTCTCCTGGAATTCTTTACCTAAATTGTTTTTACCTTGATAAAGATGTTGGGAAATTTTTAAGCACAGATGACACATAGATATAGGAAAGAATTGTAAGCCTCTGCTCATGACTCCCCCACCCCAAAAAAAAAACCACAAAACAAACCACCAACAAACTCAATCAAAAAAACATACCA